AACGGATATGGCCGAACTTATATTTAAATTGTATGCCCTATTGTGGTTTAATATTAAACAAAATTTCTGTTCCACTAGTGGTAGTTTGCATGCATTTAAAACGATTGAACTGACACGGTTTTTAAGAGATGATTTAAAAAGTATTGTGGATACGGTAATCCAAAGAAGCGCGTATTTTATACACCTCGAAAACATTCTTTTGTGCTAACAGACAATTGTGAATGGGTTCGCGAACTATCTCTACGAAGAATCTCAAAAGCTAGAGAAACCAATCGAGATACTCAACTGTATCTCGACAGGTAAGACACTGTGGTACCAATAATTATTTTCAGTGCCACCAACTACTTTGAGTTAATTTACTGGAATGAGTACGATGTGACACCGCCTCCGGTTTAAAGACATTTTACTAATGATAATCTTAGGGACCTTATAAACAAAACCGAAATTCCATACTTTGATTTTTCGAAGTTCCCTTGCCATACTTAATTCGTGGAGAAATGCGTAAAATTAGTTACAGAGTCATCTTCTTTAGTGATTGGTCCAGAATCAAGAGACGGCTTTATTGGCTCAAATTATACTATCATTTGAAAGTAAACGACAGTTTAAAATTCAGTTAATGTTTTTTTATTACTACGTTTTTTGTACTTGATGTGTTAGCTGTTTATATTTGATTTGTAAGCTTTTATGTTTTATTTGTTAGCTTTTTATGTTTGATTTATTTAGGTACTTTTTACAATTTTTTAAATAAATGTGTTGCTAAGTTTAAATCGTGTAATATTTATTTGTTATTCAAGTAATTTTTTACTCATCTTTTAAAGACAAAAGGATGAAATATTGGTTAAAAAATGTAGATGAGGGCTGAAGAAATTATTTAAAAATATTAAAAATAAAGATTGTTCATGCAAACACTAAAATATAACTTTCTGTCGTCATTGTACTTCAAAATTTTAAACTTAAACTATTCACCCCTAAAGGGCTGAAAATGTGGATTTAGAAATTTTAAAAAAATTACGAAAAGTAAGCACAGCAAGTCGCAAGTTTTGATAGATATTGTAAACCTAATTTTTATACTTTTTAAAAATATGTCTATTTTGACCCTGCCTACACAACCATTGAATTATATGCCGATTATTTTTTTATATGTAAAATAGTCCAATTTGTTGATTTCATACAATAAAAGCTCACGATTTTAATGAATCATTGGGATTAATACTGATTAAACAGCTTCTTTGTATTTTTTTTTTTTTTTGATAAAACTCTATTTTCTCTTTGAACTAACTAAACATAATCTGACAACTTTCATTTAACTAAACTGTACCTTAAATCTAAATTAATACCAAAATTTCAAAATTATTGTTAATTTTACCTGACAAAATGAAAATCGCTGATATTTATAAATAAAAATAACCTACTTTTGTTTATGTTAAAACAGTTTTAACACAGATAAAACTAACTCATATAAACACTCAATTTTTAACTATTAAACATCATTATTTGAATACCCAAAAAGTTCTTAATTTGCTAAATTAAGCAGATTTCATTCCATTTCATAGTTTAAGGCACGGAAATCACAATAAAAATTCGGCAAATGTCAAACTCCCGAACGGAAAGTAATAAATATTCTTTATGCTTTGCCATATTCATTATTTTTTAGACTATTAAAGGAAATTAAATTATTATAAAATAAGTATTTATAGTTTGTTTAATAAAGCTTTTAGATTATTACTTATTTTAAATATGTTTGTTGTGTCTCTTTTATACAAACTATAAATATAAAAAGTACAAATTTACGCAATTGATTGATGTAAGAATAAAGTTGCAACTTACTCGCCCAAATTTTTGTAAAATATAGAACACAGATTGTAAAAAATATATTTATGACAAACATGGGCTCCTAGGTATACACAAACATTAATGGTATTTGGTATTACAAAAACTTTTAATAAGAACCCATTTTGGCAGGAGCACGTGGATGATACCCTAGACGATACCATTTTGTAGGTTAACTTATAAGCTTTTGAAAGGTGTCTAACCATCACATACTTTTTACAACCTGTTGCAACTGTACTTTTATTATTAACTTGAAAAGAAAGTCAGAATAACTGCTTTCTTTTTGTTTTATTCTTTCACCTTACTTTTTATCTTTTTGGTAGATTCTTGGGTTTTAGGTATCGACTGTATATATAGAGATGTGTTCTAAAAGAAACTCATGTGGTTAGTGCAACCTCAAAATTTATATAAAAAAAGGAAATAAAAGTGGGCACTAAAAAAATACAGCTAAAACAATGTATAAATAAAAAATTTAATAAACAATACTGAAGAAGGCACTAACCAGTGTCAAAAGCTACAATTTTCATTAAATCAGTTTTTTTTAAAACATTTTTATTTGTTGTGGCTTAAGTGGGGTAACCCACCCTCCACACGTTACAACTACAGAATGTCCTGATAATGGCTAAGCATCAAAAGCGTTTGACAAATACTAATAAAATTTACACACTTGAAAATATCTTCGTTCGTTTCTTTTCTTTATCTATTAGTGTGTACACTCTCACAATCTTTAACTGAATATTTATAAACTAATAACTTTTGCAGTTTTATTTTAAATTATTTAAGAAAATACTCATAACTTTTGTCTGTGACCTAACCAACAAAAATTAAAAAAAATATGTTTTTATGCGGATTAACTAGTGTTCACCTACTTTATCATCTCACGAAGTGGCACATTTACTACCTTAATAATGCGTGCAATACAGCATATTACTTATGTGTCCTATCTGCAATGACGCAGAATAGTTCCTTCACCAACTGTTCTAAAAAATCCCGAGGGAATTTGGCTAATCTGTAATTACCAAACAATAAAACAAGGCATTAGCATTCCATGATAAAATTTTGAAAGCGCAAACTCTAAATCCCTCTATATTATGTCTATCTGAGAATTACGTATTTTCGTTTTATTGCTTTCCTGTAAAATTTACTATTTGGTACTTATGCCACTTCGTGAGAAGGGCGACGATATGTACCTAAGTTAGCTAAATGAAACAAAACTTTTTAAACTATGCTTCATTTCGTTTGAGTCAGAAAAACCTCTTCTAATAGTATAAAAGTTTAAATAAAAGAAGTTTAAATAAAGGAATTTTAAATAAAAAAAGTTTTAATAAAATAGGTTTAAATAAAGAAAGTTTAAATAAAAGAAGTTTAGGTAAAAGAAGTTTAAGCAGAAGAAGTTTAAATAAAAGAAGTTTAAACAAAAGAAGTTTAAATAAAAAAAGTTTAAATAAAAGAAGTTTAAATAAAGGAAGTTTAAATAAAAAAAGTTTAAATAAAAAAGTTTAAATAAAAGAAGTTTAAATAAAAGAAGTTTAAATAAAAAAAGTTTTAATAAAATAGGTTTAAATAAAGAAAGTTTAAATAAAAGAAGTTTAGGTAAAAGAAGTTTAAGCAGAAGAAGTTTATGTAAAAGAAGTTTAAATAAAAGAAGTTTAAACAAAAGAAGTTTAAATAAAAAAAGTTTAAATAAAAGAAGTTTAAATAAAGGAAGTTTAAATAAAAAAAGTTTAAATAAAAGAAGTTTAAATAAAAAAGGTTTTAATAAAATAGGTTTAAATAAAGACAGTTTAAATAAAAGAAGTGTAGGTAAAAGAAGTTTAAGCAGAAGAAGTTTATGTAAAAGAAGTTTAAATAAAAGAGGTTTAAAAGTTTGAATAAAAGAAGTTTATATGAAAGAAGTTTAAGTAATAGAAGTTTGAATAAAAGAAGTTTAAATAAAAGTTTATATAAAAGTATATATAAAAGATTATATAAAAGTTTAAATAAAATTTTAAATAAAAGTCTAAATAAAAGTTTAAATAAAAGTTTAATTAAAAGTTTAAATTAAAGTTTAAATAAAAAATTAAATAAAAGTTTAAATATAAGTTTAAATAAAAGTTTAAATAAAAGTTTAAATATAAGTTTAAATAAAAGTTTAAATAAAAGTTTAAATAAAAGTTTAAATAAAAATGTATATAAAAGTTTAAATAAAAATTTACATAAATCTTAACTTAAAAGTAGAAAAATTTAGGTCATCTTGGCTATAAATTCACAAATCTTCCAATATTAAAAACAACGTTTTGTATATCTTATTTTATTTATTCGTTTTCATATTTGAAAAGAGCACAAGAGGAAAAATTGAATTCAACTATGTTATTTTTATTTTATTGGTGAACGTTTTCGGCAGTTATAAAATCAAATAGAACAGACTTTTTTTATTAATTCTATTACTTTAAACTAAGATTACCTAACCTAATTTTGTAAATTTTTAAAAGACATTAATTTCGTTGTAATTTGCATTTATGTTATGTTACTTTGGGAATGGGGTGTTAATACACTGTAAACTAAAGGGTCTATTTGCATTTATATCACTATACAATGTAATTACAGGTCTGTATTTCGAACAAAATATAAGAATTTATTCGAACATTTTGAATCAGACTGAAACGTCCTATATAACGATTAATTAAAATGCTTACTTACTTTCAACGTGCTATTCCCCGTAGGCCTAATCCACATGTATTTAAGACTATCAAAAACGAAAAACCAACAGGAACAAACAATAATAACTAAAGGAATAATTAATATTTGGACAAAAACTACATAATGTGCCTATGTACCCTTAGGCCATAGAATGGATGGAAAAATACATGAGCTGAGTGTAGGGCATTCAAATAGTATCACAAAAAGCTATATGAGCTTCAGTGTCTCCTTGCGAATCCCAGAGAGGATTTACCGGAACTCCCTAGGGGAATGCAGAACCAAATAAATTTTAATTTTCTCGACTAAACACCTTCATTATATCCTGTCCTATGCAGGTCTACTTATGATTTATTAATAGGTTTGCCTTCATGTTTTTTCCACATGAAGAGGTTTTCGTGAAAACTGAAAATTTATTTGATAAAATTTTAAAAACTGATACTTTTGAAAAAATAAATAATGAACCATATTTTATAAAAACAATTAATTTTCAGAGATTCCCTTCGCCAAGAATTTGATCCCGATTGTCCATTGGTGAGAGGATGCGTCTTTCAAATTTGGTATCCTTTCGATATCAACAAATACAAATGGATATGCGACACGTTCGATATAGTCACCGTATTTTGTGGAATGATGCTTTTCTCATATTACAAAACATTCCCTTTTTCGTTGATCATTTTTCTCCTCAGCCAAATCAATTTGCTGAAGTACTCCATCAAACATGTCAATAAAGTTCGTAATGGGTCTTCAAATAATTTGTATAATGACAAAAGGGATAGTTTTAAGATTAGAGAGTGTCTACAAATGCATCAACATTGTATAAAGTGAGATAGCAACAATTTTACATTAATAATATTCATTATTAATATTTAACTTCTAATTAAATAATTTACCTAAGTTTTAAAGCTTTGTGTTTTTGTTATTTTAGGCTCATGCATTGGATACAATATTCGTTGAAAGAAATAATTCTTATTCAATATTGTAGCTATGTTTTGGATACTGCAGCTTTCATGATACCTACATTGACGGTAAAAGAGAGGAAGAAAATTTATTTTAATATTGATAAATAAATCATTAGCTTTGAGAATAATCTTAAATTTTTGACTATCGGAAATAACTTTTCTTCTTCACTATTCAGCAATTTATTTTAAAGTATACAAGTAGGTATATGTAAATAATAAATATAGAACGATAATTTATGAACATTATCGATTTTCATATATCTAAAATACATTTTCCTAAATGATTATAGATTATACCTATTATGTACCTATGAGCTGTTTGTTATAGCCAGACACGCACCAAAAATAAATTTTAAATTGTTACCGATGGCTTTAACAAATAGTTTAATAATATTAGGAACATACAATTTCCGCTTGCATTTTTTAAATTTATTTTAGGAAGATTCTCTACAAATGAAAATTCGATGTTTCGCAGGATTTATCATGACCGTAATACAAATGTATTTGTTTTTTTGGTTCGCCAATGAAATACGAGAAGAGGTGAGAAATTAATCATAATAATTTTCTTTAAGATCTTAATTTCCTTGACTTCTAAATTAGTCACATATGATTGACCTTGTACGAAAGAGTAAAAGGGTCACAACACAAAGCGTTTTCGAAATCCTACTATAGATAACAAATCCAGATTACTGCCGACAGTTTACGAACGAGTTGTAATTGTTACTGTTTATCTACATTTGTCAATCTATGACTTTTCCCGCGTAACTGTCAATATTATAAACCCTTATTTGTTAAAGAACCATTTTAACTATACATTTTTGTAATCTAACTAATAAAGATGCAATATGGGCATAAAGATTATAAGTTACTAATTGAATGTTGAAAAAACTTCAAAGCTACTACTGGCAGACACCAGACATCAAAAATTGCTTTATCCCCTTATAAAAGCCGCATGTGGATCTATTACTAATCTACTCTAAGGGTGGTTCACAAAATATTGATCTCGATCACAAAGCTGGATCAGTAATCTACTAGTTTCCGAACACGAATAGGTTTAATAACCATAGGTAAATGAACAATAGGATCCATAATCTTTCTGATCCGAGTAAGTTTCCGAAAACGCCTATACTTAATCATTTTTCTTTCTTGTAAGTCATAAAAATTAATTTTTCCGATATCTATGCCAGAAACATATTTTGGTATTTACAATCCTGTTCAAAATGTTCGCACCACCAAAAATATTAATATTATATTTATGTTATTGTAATTTCTAGTGAATTTAATATATGGTTAACATGAATAAGGGAATTAAACATTATTACATTGAGAAACATTTATTTTAATTAAAAGTTGGAGCAATTAAGCAAAATGTAGCAATAAGATACAAAAAATTGAAAAGTGAAAAAATCTTTTAACTTCATAAAACAAACGAAAAAGCTTGTTATCAAGTTCTGAATGGTTGCTTGCGGAATGTTTTCCCATTCTAACAGAACAGCATGCAGGTTGATTGAGGCAGGTACATGACGCCAAACTGATTTTTTCAGAACGTCCCAAACGTGCTCAATTGGATTTAAATCTGGACTTCGTGGTGGCTACTCTGAGATTTGAATATTAATCTTATTTAGGTAATCTAATACAGGTATTGCGATGTGAGGCCATGCAGTATCTTGCATAAAAATGAATGTATCCCCTATAAATGGCGCAAACGGCATAACATGGTCTTGAATAATGTTTTCTAGATAGAATTTCGCATTCATAGACCGCGAAGGAATAAGGAATAATTCTGTGCGTGCGTCAGAACAAATTCCTGCCCTAACCTTTTTGATCCACCATCAAATGGTTCCCTTGAAGAGATAGTGCAATCACAAACCTTTCTCCATGTCTCCGCCATACTCTATCACAACCGTCTGGAGATTTAAGACTTACTCTGGTTTCATCTGTGAACAAAACCCCAATGTGCATGATCTCTGGCGAACCTTAATCTGCGTGATCTATGATCTACGGTAAGCGAGGATGCAGTGACAGGTCTTCTGCTAGCAAATCCAAATTCTTTTTATCTTCTCCTGACGGTTAAAGCAGAAATTCTGACATTTCCAATATTTGCGAGTTGATTACTTAGCTCTTTACTTGTACATGTTCGGTTTCTTAACACCTGTTGTCGGAGAAAGCGCTCATCAATATTCTGGCAACACTGTACCAAATCAAACAAACTGTTATTCCGTCATTCCTACCAACCTCTACTATGAAACGTTAATTGTTTAATTATTTGTGCTCATTTAGAAAACTGTGTTTAATTAAGAACTGTGACATTAATAAAGGCAAGGTAAATAAAATTATTTTTACAGTTGTTGTTTTATTAACCGACTTCAAAAAAGGAGAAGGTTATCAATTCGTCGCGATATTTTTTTTTTATGTATGTTCAGCGATTATTCTTTAACACGGTGTCCGATTTCAATGATTCTTTTTTTGTTAGAAAGGGGGTACTTCAGGAGTGGTCCCATATAAATTTAGTCAAAATTTAATAATTGGGTCCATGAGAAAATCCTCAAACTCTTCATTTTTTATGTACGTTTAGCGATAATGCTTTACCACCTTGTCCGATTTATACGATTCTTTTTTTGTTAGTAAGGGGGTACCTCAGGGGTGGTCCCATATAAATTTGGTTAAGATGTGGTGACAGCATCTGCACGTTTTTGAAGTCGGTTTTTTTTAATTTTTAATTTCTAATACTTGTTTAACTATAATAAAGTTTTACGAATCCAATTTGATTTATATTTTGTTTCAGTGTCTAATTCTTATTCTAAGACCACTTCAAAATGGTATATTTCTAACCAACTGTAAATACTATGAAGTAAGAAGTAAGCAAAAAATTTGTAAATTTTTTGTTTCCCACAAAACCCGCTAAAAGGAAAAAAATTTATTATTCTGATAAGGTATTTACTTGACATCATTATAGAAATGGAAATGTACAATAAAGGTTTGATAAAGATAAAGAGGCAAATGGTTTTTCACTTTAAAAGTAGTTGTAATAGCATTGTCACATTGCAGCGCCAATTTGTAGTATATTACATTACCTTGTGATAAAATGTTAATTTCATAACACTTATAAGAGATTTTGACTAGCTAGAGAAATTTAACACCAAACATTACTTACCTTTAAAAATTAAAAAAAAAATAGCACATTGACCATAGTTTTCTCAGTCGTGAATTCGGCTTTTCTAATAGACCACCTTTGGGATAATAATTTTCTAGGAGGGTTGGGCACCAATAATTCTCTTTTTTTATTTTTGAAAGCTAGTGAGAATTATAAACTCTAGCTTTATCAAAAAGAAATTAATAAAAACAACAAAATGTAATTTGAGTAAAAGAGAATTGTTGTAACCTTTAAAAAAATAAGATTCAACTTATATACTTATAAAAATGAATTAGTTTATTCAAATAAAAAAGAAACTGTTCAGGAACAGGTCAATATTAAAGTTTATCAGATAAATTAACTTTTATCTCGTCATTAATAAAACTAGCCACTATTAGTTACCACATTAGATTTTGGCTGGCAACTTCCTTAGGATGCAGTCAAAAATTCTACGACTCGGGAACGAACACCAAATCTCGCATTTCCCATGATTCTGCTACTCGAGCATGGAGAATTAGGTGTGATAAAATTTTACGATGTGTATCTCACTATTTTAGTTCACAGATTTCTGTAAATGTTCAATTATGTGCTGCTATTTTAAACTTTTAGTATCCTTTGATAAAAGAAGTTGAATATTATTGTTGACCTCTTTAAACTATTTTTTTTACCTTATACATTTTTTCTACTCTTCATACAGTATTCTGTGAAGAGTATTATAGGTTTACTTTGTCCGTCTGTCCGATGTCACTTTTTGTGTCTGCATGATAATTGTTGATCTTATTATTTTTATCTATTTTTATAGTGTTTTAAGCTCTATGATTCTGGGGAGTGGGTCAGGTTATTAAACAACTCGTATTACTTTGAAAAAGAATGTTGGACGCCACTATATTTAAACTTTCTAAACTTGACAAGCGATTAGTGATGAAAATATAGAAAATCACTAACTATAATGATATTAAAATTAAATAAGGTAGCGACAAATTCTAATTCACAGAGACTTAATTATTCAAATTTAAATGATTTATTAATAACTTATCTGTTGAATCAGAAGTAACATTTAAGGAGTGACTGTAGAGGCCTTCTTGTTAAATTTTCAAAGGTAAAGTGAAATCTCGTTAACTTCTTTCGGTGGTTGAACTAAACTTCTTGATGTATTCTAAACAGGCAGCTTGTACGTTCTTCCAAATTTCTAAACATTCTTCTAAAATTCATCTAGATACAGCTTATATTGAACCATCTATATAGTTTCTATCGAACCATCTATATAGTTTCTATTGAACTTTTACTGAAACCATCTATATACAGCCAGGCTACAAGGAAAAAGGTGAAAATATAAAGAAAGGAATTAGTAAGAGTTTATATAGGAAACAGATAAGATGCTTTTTACTATCAAATGCACAATTTAAATTATTAAATGAATAGCTTCACAGAGACCAAATTTAATAGGAAAAGAAAAAGTATTATTTAACACATTTAAATATAGTAAAGCATATCATCTCTTTCAAACAAAATAATATATGAAATTATATAAAACATGTGATTTCTTGTGTTTTTCATGTTGAGGTTATGTTTCAAATTTGTCATTTTAATAAAGAAATTCTTGTACTAAATATATATTTTCAACAAAATATCGGTAGGAAACTTACCTTTTTAAAATCAGACGGTCATTAAAAATATTTAAGATAATTAGTACATCGGATGTCCAAGATAGAAGATAATTAAAATTCAATAATCAACTTGCTTGTCGACAGAGATAAAATGAAAATGACAATCCAAGTTTTGACACACGGCATAAACGACAAAATAACGAATACGGTTCCGATCGTTACAATGTTTGGGTCCAAATAATGAAAACGGTTTTAACCGTTACATAATTCAAAACGAGAAATGATACCAACTTGAAAATTTTAAGCAAAAATCAAGCTCTATAAGGGGCCAAAGCCTATTGATTTTTAACAAATCTGATTAAAAATAGGTGTTGAAATTAAAAAAAAAATCCTAAATTAAAAACGAAAAGCGATATTAACATGAAATTTTAAGTAAAATTGAAGCTTTATAGAAAGATAAAGCCAATTGATACTGAAAAAAATGAATGTATTGGGGAGTTAACGGGGGTTAAAATATTAAAAAAAATCCTAACTGAAAAAAGAAAAATGATATCAACTTTAAATTTTTAGCAAACATCAAGCTCTAAAAGGAGAAGAAGCCCTTTAATTATAAAAAAAATCTGATTAAATATGGGTGATTTAAGGGGGGTTGAAATTAGGAAAAAAAATTAGAATTAAAAAGAGTTTTCAACATGAAATTTTTAGTAAAAAGCAAGCCCTATAAGAAGGCCTATATGAGGCCTATTGATTGTGAAAACAATCTGGTAGAAAATGGGCAGCTAAGGGGGTCTGTTAAACTG